AACCCCCTTAAACATAATGTCAAGTTTTGCCTCGAATTCTGGCTAAATTCTGCACTGCCTATATTTCTTTGCTGCTAGTAATGCCTGTAACAAGCTTTTTTAGGGGGATTAGTTTCTAAATAATTTGAGAAGTAATAAAATTGAGAAGTAAAAAATTATAGTAGTTAGAAAATTACCTCAATTTTCTCAGCCCACCATTCTGCCGGAGCATTGATCGTCCTTTTAATTGGATCCCATCCCAACCCGGTAGAGCCACGTTTCAACTCTTTTCATATTTTCATTCTTTCTTAAATTGGTCACATTTATTTTTGAATTTAAGCCTGTTGTAATCCCTACCAGTCAATTCTTTGAATCTCTAAGCTATATTTTGCCAACCTTCTTTATTAAAATACGTGGTTGGCATATTCCCCAGTTCAGTTTCATTAATGCATAGGTCACAAAAAATATTTGTTACTTCTTTATCCACATTGCAGACGGACCCCCTTCAATTGCCTTAGACATTTTGAGACTATTTGGAACAAATTAAAATATGTACTTTCGAAAAAATAAGCACTTTCGAAATCATCAAACAACTTTTAAAATAAAGACTTAACATATTCAAGAAATAACAAGCCAGAAATAAACAACCACAACCAACATAATATCTACAACGTTGCAACATATGAATAAAGAAAAATACAAATACACGAGAGATTTTAATGTGGTTCGGTCAGAGACCTACGTCCACAGAAGGAAACCCAAGTAAACTTTATTAACCAAATCGAAAAAATTACATATATGTGCTACAAAAAAAAGTACAAGTACTAGTACAACTATAATTCTCACATTGCACCTTAATTCTAACATAGCACTATAACCAAATCAGAAGTGAAGTTCCAACTTTCAAGAGATGCTCTGGAAGCCATGTTGAGATTAATGACTTGTAATAATGATCAAATATCAGATTTTGTAAGTACATAAGCCTTCACTGTTATTTGTATTATAGAAATAGAGGTGATGTTTAACCAGTTTATGCTGAGATGGTGAGAAAAAGGGCCCCTGATGTACCACTTAATTCTTCTAGCATATGATTCGAAAAGAGGGGCAACAACTGTAAGGAGCAAAACAGAACTCAAAGCAACAACAAAAAGTCTTAGAACCAAATTTCAGTTGTTTATGTACTCCAATCATAGAATGCCTCAAAGAAACAACAAAAATCATGCCTCAAATATGTTCAACATAGGGTCAACCCAAAAGCAAGGCCTAACCCAATATGTAACTAAAAAAAACAACCGTCACGAGACAAAATCAGGCCCAACACAAGGGACAAAACTGAATCATTTCGAGGCAAAACCGGGCCCCAAATCTCAGGCCAAACCGAGCCTAGGAAAGGGGCAAAAACAGTATACAAATTTCAACTGAAATCCAGTCCTCTAGGGGCCAAAACCGAGCCCACCAAATGGAGAAAGATAGAACATAACTTTCAGCATTTATTTGGAAAGGAATAAGAATAATAAAGCTCAAGAATGAAATCACAAATCATCACTTCATTCAACATGTGATTCGAATAAGTAAATAACAGAAAATATTGCAAAAAAAATAATTTTCCAACATAAACATTGCATTTCACTCATATGTTCCAGCTCCCCAGTTCCATAACCATTCTCATTTGTAACATTAAACTCATTAAAATCATTTAGTGCATGCATGTTGCCATAGTTTAAACAATTGTAACTAGTTTGCATCTGAAGGTATATAATTGACTAATGATCATGAATATTTTTTATAACATTCCTCAATCTTCAACTTTGTGTTATACTTGAGCACATGATTTATCCAACCATATAAAAATAATAGAACAAACCATCCAACAGATCCAACAGAGCTGGCATAAATTAGGAATGCTTGGGCATGTAAATGCCCAATTATAATGAACATAGGCACCAAAATGCTTCTACATGTCTAATGCAAGGTCTAAAAATAAAGACACCAATATTATTCAGACTGCTATATAATGCAAGGTCTAAAAATAAAGCGGAGCATATAAAATGTGTTCTGCATGTAAATGGACCATTATAAAGAACAAAATATACAGTGTTAGGTTAAATTCCCTATTTTTCCATTCAACTGATCCAGTGAAATGAAAATCTTCCCAAGCTTTCTTGCATTCAATATTTCCCCATCATTCAAAGCATCATTCAAAGCAGAATATTGATCCATACCATTCCAACGTGAAATTAAAAATGGTAAAAATTCCCAAGCATGAAAATTTTGAACAACGGAAAAGGATCCTAACTATTTCACAGTAAATCAAACATTCCGCAGCAAAAAATTCCAACGTTTCATTTCTAACGACCATAGGAACAGAAATTACTGTGAGAGGATCAAATACGTCCTCGCGGGAAGGAAGGAGAGGGATATCGGGTAGGGTGAGAGTATGAGGTCAAAAAATATACCTCATATCGCGGATCACAGCCTCGTAAGCTTCGGGCGAGGCCGAGAGAGAAATGGCGAGAGGGGAAGGGCGAAGGCAAATGAGAGATACGGGAAGGGCAACACGGGAAAAATAACCCTAAAAGCGAGAAGCATATGCGGAACGGAGCTCTTGGCCAGATCACGCTCCCTTAAGGGAATCACGATAAGAGAACAGAGCGGGTGCAAAACGTATCACGCGAATGTATTTTTCAAACGGAAGGGCTGAAAACGCCGTCGCTCCCAATAAGCATTCTTAAACGAGCCCTAAAGTAATTGTGATTTTAATAAATTTTACAATCATAATTATCAAGTATATAATATTTTTCAAGCTTCTTGGCCAAGAATATCCATTAATGAAAAAATATTAACATATTAAAATTTTTTGGGCATTTTGTTATAATATTTCTTTTGATTCTTTTAATATAATAATATAACATTTATTTAATGTAATATTATAAAATTTAATTTGACAAAAAAACATGGGACTAACCCACATTTTATAAAATGTGAATTAATCCAACCTTTAATATAAATAATATTTTTTTTAATTAAAATGATATAATATTTCCAAGTTCTTGCTCCTCCAAACAACTTTTCCATTGGGCTCATCTTACCCATTTAAATTATTATCTTGATCATTTTCAAATTTTGGCCATTTTTATTCAGTAATCTCCATCAAAATCATTAAATTATAATGTACATGAAAATAATTATAAGACCATTATATTTATAGTACTTAAATATTTTACATGGAATTAAAAAATATATATATCATTATTTCTAATTTCTGTAAGATGAAACATCCTGTAGATGAAAAAAATCAAAATTTTGGCGTTTGATATATTGATACACAATTAAAGCTTGGAAAAATTATTACGTTCGGACTTAGATGTACGTCGGAGTCCAATGAATCACCTCCCCGTGGAGCTGACAGGAAAAAAAAAACTTATTTTCTTGTGATTCGGCCCAGTAACACCGAAAAATATTCTTCCCGTGTTATTTCGCTTTATTCAGTTGTTATTGTGGTGATATTGATGTGTTATTGTGTTATTATAACAACAAGAATATTCTCAGAATACAATAATATATGAATACCACCACAATAATACAGAATAACAAGAGAAAATATTATATTATGCTAAAATGTTACATGACAATGATTTTATTGGACTACGAATGTATAAAAATTTCGCTAATTGCTTCGCAAGATAGTGTGTCGGGACTTAAAAGATAGTTGGGCCCCATTTCGCTGCGTTCGGTTGCCGCAAAAATTCATGGATTATTGGACGCTCATAATTTATTAGAAAGTACTAGAACTTAGTGTTATATTTCTTAGCCTTTCGTGTAAGGATTCACGCCACATATTTTAGTAATTCTTTAACATTATGAATATCCCAATTTTGATTCGCAATAATCATGTGATGATATTTTATATTTTGAGTCCATTATTGATAGCAGTTAATCAAAACAAGAAAATAAAAAAAAATATATATTTAAATAGATATATATAATATAAAAGTTATGAGATAGACGGTCGGCGGTGGTCGACAGTGAAAATTAGCAGTGGTCAATGATGATCGGCAATGATGGTGAGCTGCAGTTTCTCCTCAATGCCTCAGACTCACTCTCTGGACTTCTCTCCCTTCATGTGAAGGGTGGGGCCGTTTATTTATAATGTTACGGGTGCAATTAATACAGTAATATTTGGTGAGCTGCAGTTTCTCCTCAATGCCTCAGACTCACTCTCTGGACTTCTCTCCCTTCATGTGAAGGGTGGGGGTTTATTTATAATGTTATGGGTGCAATTAATGCAGTAATATTAATCAGTAATATTAATCATTTTGATTGGACGGTCCAGAGAGCTTCCTTTGATCAAGCGGCGTTTAATGAACATTTTAGTGCCTTAGCGATGTCGGGATTGAGTGATTTTAGGCTCGTTGGATTTGTCTTGTCGAGGAATTCGGTTCAAGTATAAACTTGTTTAATCTTCCAGATGTATCTGGAAATCCTGTAAGAGTGGTTTAATGACTTGATCTTAGTTTGATTCGTCTCAGATTGAACTATTTTTTATATCATTACGTCTGTATCATCGAGCCGGTCAGTTTGACTACAAGTTTGTTGAAATCGAAACTCTGGATAAATTTTTATCAAGATCTAAACGTTTCTTTTTCAAAATATTATCTCCGGATCCATATCATGTCTCCAGATTTATGTCGGATGATGAAAATTTACTGGCGGCGTATCAAATATGGGCTCCAATAATAACATATTGGTTAAAAACAATAAAGAAGAAAATTTTAGATACATGCCACACAATTCCTACGTATCATACATAATTTTTTGGTGTCATGAATCTATACATGAAATAATGTATTTTATTTTTCAAAAATTAGCCATGATAGTATTTTTTTTAATTTAATTTTAAGAATTTGAGCGACAAACATGTAAATTTCAAGGCTCAATACATGTAAAATATGTAAAAATACCAGTATTGAGTGATATGGATTCCCCCCGGCTATAAATATGGAGCATTTGTATTATTTTTAGTGGAATAAGAAATATAGGCTGTAGTAAAGATGAAGCTACGCTTAGCATCTGTCTCCCTCTTTCTAGCCATCATGCTAACAGTGTGCCTTCCTTGCTTCTCAGTCAAAAGCTTTGATTTCTTCTCTCTAGTGCTCATGGTATTTATTTCCATATATATAATATTATGAAAATATATATGTGAAATTATGTATTTATGAAGAAGGATCATGAAATTGCAGTGGCCGGGAGCTTACTGCCAGCAAACGAATGGCGGATGCTGCCTTCCGACGACGGGGGAGCCGGCGGCGGATTTCCTCATTAGGGATCTCATAACCTACAGCTCTAATGGAGATTCCATCACCAAGTGTCAGAATATAAATTTCGATTATAATCAGGTAGAACTCTAATTTTATATATATATATATATATA